TCCTGCTTGTGCTCGTGCAGTACGTTTGAAACGCGCTGCATGGGGCAGGTACCAGTACAATAGAACCACGGAGAGAAACGTGCGATCGCTCGCCGTGTCATCCGTGACGCTAAACGCACTTGCTGGCGAGATTATATCTCCACCATCACCTCTGCTTCCTCTATGAGTGCAGTCTGGAAAAAAGTACGAAAACTGAGTAGTAAATATTCTCCTGACCCGGCTCCTGTTCTGCGGGTTGCCTGTGTTGATATAGCAAACCCACTAGATGTTGCCAATGAAATTGGCAATCAACTGGTCCGTATTTCTCAGGGACTCCATCTATGCCCCTCATTTCTTTCTTCAAAGTCTGCCAGAGAGTTAGCACCCTTGGACTTTTCTTCTCTCAGAGAAGAACAGTATAATGTGCCTTTTACACTTCAAGAACTGGAGGCAACACTCTCAGCTTGCCGATCATCGGCAGCTGGGCCCGACGACATTCATATTCCTATGCTACAACATTTACATCAGTCAGCCCTTGCAGTCCTATTACGCCTTTACAATCTTATTTGGTCACAAGGAGTTCTTCCACAGCTGTGGAAATCCGCCATTGTTCTCCCTTTCCGCAAACCAGGCACTACGGGGCATGAAGCCTCCCACTGTCGTCCCATTGCTCTTACCAGTGCAGTTTGCAAAGTGATGGAACGCCTAGTAAATAGACATTTAGTGTGGTATTTAGAGACACACAACAGTCTCTCCACTCGTCAATATGGCTTTCGTAAGGGACGTTCTACCATAGACCCCTTACTATGCTTGGATACATATGTTCGTAATGCCTTTGCGAATAACCACTCAGTTATTGCCATATTTTTTGACCTTGAGAAGGCATATGGCACAACTTGGAGGTATAATATTTTAGCCCAAGCCCACTCCTTAGGCCTTCGAGGCAATCTACCATCCTTCCTTAAGAACTTTTTAACTGACAGGCATTTCCGTGTTGGGGTTAATAATGTGCTCTCCCCAGACTTTATCCAAGCTGAAGGTGTCCCCCAGGGATGTGTTCTGAGCACAACACTTTTTCTCCTTGCTATTAATGATTTGGCCTCTAGTCTTCCATCAAATATTTGGTCATCACTCTATGTTGATGACTTCGCTATTGCCTGTGTAGGCGCTGACTGTCACCTCATTACAGTTTCTCTCCAGCATGCAGTCGACCGTGTTTCCAATTGGGCCACCACACATGGGTTTTAAATTTTCCAGCACCCAAAACCCACCAAATTACTTTCACTAGACGCTCTGTCATCTCCGATCATCCTCTGTACCTCTATGGCTCCCGTATCCCTGAACGTGATGCAGTCAAGTTTCTGGGCCTCCTCTTTGACCGTAGGTTATCCTGGAAACCTCACATTACCTCTCTGAAGGCAACTTGTCACAGCCGGCTGAACCTTCTTAAAACCCTTGCTCATCTTTCATGGGGAGCTGATCGTCGAACCCTCCTTCTCCTACATTCCACCCTCATTTTATCGAAACTTGATTATGGTGACCAGATCTATTCAGCGGCATCTCCTGCTACTCTCTCTAGCCTTAACCCCATTCATCACCAAGGATTACGTTTATGCCTTGGTGCTTTTCACTCTTCCTCTGTCGAGAGCCTCTATGCAGAAGTGAACGTTCCATCCTTATCGATCACAGTGATGCCCATTGCCTTCGCTACTATGTACGCTCTCATGATCTCCGCAATCCTTCCATTTATAGAATGGTCGCTGATATTAGTAGACATTCTTTATTTGTTCGCCGTCCCTGTTTACTCCGTCCCTTCTCTCTTCTCCTTCATTCGCTCTTGTCTTCTCTTCAATTACCACCTTTCTATGTTCATGTAGCATCACACTTTTCCCTACCCGCCAGGGAAGTTCCAGCTGTTCGAGTCTGTTCTTTCTCTCTCCCTTGCTCGAAAGCCCAACTGTCTACGGTCACTTCCCGCTCTCTTTTTCTTGACCACTTCCACTCTCATTCTCATGCCATTGCTGTGTACACAGATGGCTCTAAGTTTTCTGACGGTGTAGGATTCACAGCAGTGTTTCCGGACAGTGTCGTACGAGGGCATTTACTATCTTCGGCTAGTACTTTTACTGCTGAATTGTATGCCATCCTTGCAGCACTTATCCGTATTGCATCTATGCCTGTGTCATCATTCGTTGTTGTCTCAGACTCCCTTAGTGCTTTACAGGCTATACAGAAATTTGATACACCTCACCCCTTAGTCCTCCATATCCAACTTTGGCTATGCTGCATCTTTACCAAGCATAAAGATATTGTTTTTTGTTGGGTCCCTGGTCATTTTGACGTACAGGGCAATGAACAGGCAGACTGCTGCGCGGTCAGCAGTACATGACCTACCAGTTTCATATAGAGGTATTCCATTTACGGACTATTTTGCTGCAATATCTTCCCACCTTCACACCCGTTGGCAACAACGTTGGTCTACTATGCTCGACAACAAACTTCAATCTGTTAAACCGAGTATAGGTTACTGGCCGTCTTCTTATCACCAGTGTCGAGGTTGGGAGACTACTCTCTCCCGTCTTCGCATTGGCCATACTTGTCTTACTCATGGATATCTCATGGAGAGACGCCCTGCTCCTCTCTGTGAGAATTGCCAAGCTCCATTATCAGTCAGCCACATTCTGTTGGACTGCCCACTTTATCAACGAGAACGCAGAATTTACCTCCGTCGTCGTCTTCGCTCCGCTGCTCTCTCTTTACCTTCCCTTCTCGCTGATGGACCCACCTTTCATTTGGACTCTCTCATTGACTTTTTGACAACAACTGACTTACTTCACAAATTCTGATACCTTCAGCCCTTTCTACTTCAATCTCTTGCTACCCTCTACCCCCGTACTATCCCCTGCCCCGCTGTTTTCTGTAACCTACTGATCATCCCTCCTCCCTTCTGCCATCCAATACCCTAGCTTCCTTCCCTACCCTACAGCGCTGTATAGCCCTTGTGGCTTAGCGCTTCTTTTTAATTATAATAATAATAATAATATAATAATAATAATAATAATATAGATGGGGTTATAAGAGATGTGAATATGAGGGTCTTTGCAGAGGTGTGGAGTTAAAAGATAAAGAATGAAACACACAGTGGGAGTTGTCACAGTTGCTCTTTGCTGATGACACTGTGCTCTTGGGAGATTCTGAAGAGAAGTTGCAGAGGTTGGTGGATGAATTTGGTAGGGTATGCAAAAGAAGAAAATTAAAAGTGAATATTGGAAAGAGTAAGGTTATGAGAATAAACAGAGTAGGTGATGAAAGATTGGATATCAGATTGGAGGGATAGAGTATGGAGGAGGTGAATGTATTCAGATATTTTGGAGTGGACGTGTCAGCAGATGGGTCTGTGAAATTTGAGGTAAATCATAGAATTGATGAGGGGAAAAGGGTGAGCGGTGCACTTAGGAGTCTGTGGAGACAAGAACTTTGTCCATATGGATGTGAAGCATGGGTAATGAATGATGTATGTTAAGAAGTATCTTTCCATCATACATTGCCCAAGTTTGAATAAGATAACCCAACAAACAATTGAGAAAATAATAATAATATAATAATAATAGTAATATCTTTATTTACTACACATACATGTACAAGGTATACAGGCCTAGCTGACATCAGTGACATACTACTGTATAGAAAGGCACTTGTTATGCTGAGTATTTCGAGAAAGTTAGGTCAGTGTCCCAGGATAACACCCACACTAGTCGACTAACACCCAGGTACCCATTTACTGATAGGTAAACATAGACAACAGGTGTAAAGAAACACGCCTAATGTTTCTACCCTGGCTGGGAATCGAATATTTACCAAAAATCATGTATGGCTAACCCAAGCCAGGTACTAAAAATAAGCCACGTTGACTTTTTTAGATTATCCTAGGTTCTCTACACATATGCTGCTGTGTGTGATAATCTATAGAGAGAAAATAACTTTTTTGTTTCATGTTTATGGTGGAGTACGAGTGTATATCATAGCCCTGTGCTATACTCCATTTTCTCTAATATAAGCCCCCAAGACAAGGATAGGAGAATGGTATTTGTTTACCATATCCTTTTCATAACTGTCGAACTGCTCGGTGTTATGCCAAATATTATTAATTCTGGAGTATTTAACATGTTTTATGTTATTTATATTGTTTCTTATGTCATATTAGATCATTTGTGATAGCAAATAAGCTGTAATGTTGATATTAGCGTAATAATAAAGCATATTCTCTTGCTTCACGAGACTGAGCTCATGGCAACCGACAGTGGCTTCAAAGCCACCTTATCTTTAATGGATAATGTACTGTGTAGGTGCTTTACATAATGAGAAGCATATCTTTTTATTCATTGGAACCATGGCTAGGGCTAGGTTAAAACAATAAATGGAGAAAAAGAAATTGGAATGACTTATGCAGCAAGTAGCACCACCAAACAGTACCAGCAGGCTGGTGTGGTGACCCTGGAAATTTGAAATTATGCTAGCCAAAATTAGTGCCGAATAACTGAAGGAACCGAATAACTGATTGCTGGATTTGTGATGGCGGACCTGTATACATTTACTCACCTATGTACTCCCACATCATAACTGAAACAATCACATTGAACCTTTTATCCATTGTTGACAGGAATATAATTGAATCATTGTTTTTCACTAAAGCATTTTAGAATATAAATACGTATATCTTTGTATTATACAAATTTTGATTCATTTATAATTAATATTCTACTGTACAACTATGAAATAATTACTTTCCTACTGTACAACTATGATATACTACTCCTTAGTATTAAGTAGACTGTAAGCCAATAATGTTAAGTTGGCCCATAATGCCTAGGCATAATAGAGGCTCTCTTTGCATTGCAACCCACTATTGTATATACACAATCTCAATGTACTGTTTGCAAAGACATTAAATAAATAAATAAATAAATATGTAAATTATTGTCTTCTCTTATCCTACTTATATTACTGTATTTTCCTCACAGAATCTCCTAACTGGCTGCAGGCTGTGCTGTTCTTCATAGGAACAGCTGGTTTTGCCGTTCCAGCCATAATTATACTCATCCTGGCCTGGTACTACTACTATGCGGTGGCTGCCGCCAATAAGCACATGGTGGCGCTATTGAAAAATCAGTTGGTCCTGGAGGGGCATGACAAACAGTTTCTCTTAACAAGGCTAGATCACATGATCAAGAAGACTGCCGAGGAGGAGGAAGCAGCCAAGTCTTCCAGCAATACTGAAGAAGAGACAGGACATAGTAATGACCAGACTCTGGAGGCTTAAGCTTGTGCTCAAGGTACTGCAGCAACAAATTATAAATTGTACAGAATTGTTATCAGAATTTATAAATATTGCTTTTTCTAGCTGCTATTCCTTACAGGGGCCTAGATTAAAATGCCATTTCTTATGAATAAGAAAAGATTTGTAGAAGGGTCATAAGAGGCTTTATATATATGTACATATATGTTATGTATGCACATATGTACATACATATGTGTGTATGTACATATGTGTATGTACATAGGTATGCACATATGTGTATGTACTTATGTGTGTATGTACAAATACATGTATGTACATGTGTATGTTTGTATGTACATATGTTTGTATGCACGAACATACCCATGCATTCACACACACACACACACACACACACACACACACACACACACACACACCACACACACACACACACACACCACACACACACACACACACACACACACACCCCACACACAAAACCCAACACACCCCCCACACACACCACACCCCACACACCAACCCCACACACCCCCACACCCCCACCCACACACACCCCACCCACACAACCACCCCACCCACACACACAACACCCCACCACACACCCCACAACACACCCCACACACACCCCACTCACACCACCCACACACACCCCACCACACACCCCACACACACCCCCACACACCCCCCCCAACACACCCCCAACAACCCCACACACACACCCCACACAACACACCCCACACCCCAACACACACCCCACACACACCACACCCACCCCACCACACAAACACCCCACACACACACCCCAACCCCCACACACCCACACACACACCCCACACACACACCCCCACCCACACCCACACACCCCACACACCACACACCACCCCACACACCCACCCACACCCCCACACACACCCCCACCACACACACACACACACACCCAACCCCACACACACCCCACACCCCCACACACCACACACCCCACACACACCACCACACACACACCCCCCACACACACACAACCCCAACACACACCCCCAACACACCCCCACACACACACCCCACACACACACACCCACACACACACCCCACACACCACACACCACCCCCCACACACACACCCCACACACACACCCCACACACCCACACAACCCCACACACACACCCAACACAACACACACACCCCACACACACACACCCCACACAACACACACCCACACACAACACACACACACCAACACACACCAACCCCCAAACACACACACACCCCACACACCACACCCCACACACAACACCCCACACACACACCCCACCACACACCACACACACCACACACACACACCCCACACACACCACACACACACACCACACACCACACCACACCCACACACACACCCCCACCACACCCCACACACCCCACACACACACCCACCACCACCCCACACACACCCCACACCACACACACCCACACACACCACCCCACACCACACCCCAGCCCCACCACACACACCTGAACAGTAAGCAATAGGCTCCCAGCATAACATCATGCTGTCCTAACACATATTAAGCAGTCATCGTTTTGTGTGGATTGAATCAGTGAACATACCCACAAGATTGTAACAACTTTCTGGAGTGTGAGAATTTTAGAATTTAAGTTTGAATGTGGGTGTTTTTACTGGAAGCTGTGTGAGGGAGGGTAATAAGCAGCTGGTCAGGCTGCTACCACTAGTGTTGACACAAATAATAATAAAAAACATTTTTAATGGGTCAAGGTTGTGACTTCAAGTAAAAATAAATGCAAATATCTAATATTTGCAAATAGTATCTAATATTAGTATATATTAATAAGGAGTAGATTGAGAAATAATTCTGCAGTCTTCAGAAGAGTAGCATAGCCTGGCATAATAAAGTGACCCCCCCCCTTTTTTCAAAGACAAGAGACTAGCACATAAACAAACACACACACACACACACAGTAAAGTGACCCCATTTTCTTCAAAGAGTAAAAGATGAGCACATTCACACACACGCATACACATGTGTGCATGCATGCATGCACGAGTGCACACACACACACACACACACAGTGCACACACACACACACACGTGCACACCACATCACACTGCACACACACTGCCACACAAACACAGTGCACACAGCACATGCACACACGCACATGCAAACACTGCACACACATGCACACACACATGCACACACACATGCACACACATGCACACACATGCACACACATGCACACACACACACACACACACACACACACACACACACACACACACACACACACACACACACACACACACACACACACCACACAGTCATAGAGTCGTCAGGAAGTGAAATACTCAGGCAAGCGATGTAGTGGAGGCAGGAGCCATACATAGTTTTAAGACGAGGTATGATAAAGCTCATGGAGCAGGGAGAGAGAGGACGTAGTAGCAGTCAGTGAAGAGGCAGGGCCAGCAGCTGCATCTCGACCCCTGCAACCACAAATAGGTGAGTACACACTCACACACAACCTTAAGGCACCCCTGTTTCAAGCAGTCACTCATACCCCTCCCTCCCTCCCCCTTCCCCCTCCTCCTCTCCCCCATCACTCCCATCCCTCTCTCTCCCACACACACAAACACACACATACTTGCCACATACACACACTTGCCGTCTCTCCCCTTCCCCCTAACCATCTCTCCCCCTCCCCCTAACCATCTCTCCCCCTCCCCTAACCCTCTCTCTCCCTCCTCCTAACCATCTCTCCCCCTCCATTCTGTGGTGCAATGGGGCAATCAAGAACAAGGACAAGAGCCAAGGGTCTGACAGACAAATCTGGGAGGGAGGATTGGGAGGTAGAGCTCAAAAAAAGGGAGGAAGACTGGGGAAGGAAGCTAGACGAGCTTGGAAGGAAGATGGAGGAGAGGTTAGCTGCAGAGGGCAGAAACTGGGAGCAACATGCCACAGTAACAGAAGCCAAAATACACAGCTTAAAAGAGGAGCTGAGAAATCTGAAACAGAACAGAGAAAAAAATAACAGTATAGACATAGCATCAGGAATATCTACATCAGACACAGACAAAGGGACTGGAGGGAGTAAGAAAGCTATACTGTATGCAAAGGTCCTGTCAGACCTGCACGGGGCCAAGACAAAGACAGGGAGCACACTAGGACCAAATGAGAGGTCGGAAGACATTGAAGGAACTAGGACATATGCAGGGACTCTACCAGACACTTGTGGGGGCTAGGAACAGGTGAGCAGGAAAGACAAACTAATGAGCATAGGGGCTGCAGCTAGGGAAGGGATTCAAGGAAGGAACACTCCAAGGGAAGGAACTAAAACACCTCAGAGGGCACAGTGGGAGACACAGTGGGAGGAAGAAAGGGAGAGATCAGTTTTTGTCTATGGGTTCCAGGAAGCCGAAGGGGGAACCTATGATGAAAGAAAACAGGAGGAGAAAAAAGCGATTGAAGGTATCATGAAGGTGATAGGTGAGGGCAACATGACCTAGGTGGCAAATTTTCAGAGAATTGGGTGGTTTGCAAGGAGAAGGAAACGTCCTCTCAAAGTAATTTTCAAGGCAGAATCAACTTGAACCATGATCCTGCAGGAGAAAGCACGGCTGAGAGACAAACTGGAGTTCCAGAGTGTGTACCTCAATCGAAACAACGCAGGAGGAAAGGATGATACTGAAAGAGAGAGTGCAGAAATGAAAGGAGGAATGGGAGGAAATGACAAAGAAAAGCAGAAAAACCCAGGCACAGGTAGAAGGGCAAGCACCCCCCCTCCCAGAAACACCCGCAGAAGGATTCCAACCATGACATCCCCAAGGCAACTGAACAATCTAAACTAACAATCACACACCGATCCTTCTGTCCCCACCCCCCACACCACGAACCCTACCCCTACAGCAACCTCCTATAGGAACTCTGCCCCCACCCCCACTGCAACCCCCCCCATAGGCCCAGGGCTCCTGCTCTCCCAACCCCAATATTCCCCCAGGACTACAGTTTTAGAACAGAAGTTGAAAGTTTGCTACACGAATGCAGATGGATTAACAAATAAATATGAGGAATGGCATGAAAGGATCAATGAGAAGTCCCCAGACATCATGGCAGTTACAGAAACAAAATTCGCTGAGACAAAAACAGATGCAGTCTTCCCACCAGGATATCAGATCATGAGGAAAGTTAGAAGGGGCAGAGGGGAAGGAGGGGTTGCACTGCTTGTAAAAAACCGATGGAAATTCGAAAAAATGGGAGGCATAGACGAGATTGAAGGACTACATAGTAGGTACACTTTAGTCTGGGGAGTACAAGGTAGTCATTGCAGTGATGTATAATCCACCACAGAACTGCTGTAGGCCAAGAGAGGAATATGAAGAGAGCAACAGAGCAATAGTGGACACACTTGCTGAGGTGGCAAGAAGAGCTCACTCAAGCAGAGCAAAGCTGCTAGTTATGGGCAATTTCAACCACAGGGAGATTGACTGGGAAAACCTGGAGCCACACGGGGGTCCCGAAACATGGGAGAGTCAAGATGATGGACACTACCAGAGTGAGAGGGGAGGACGAACCAGCATGACTGCACCTTGTGTTCACCCTGGGCAGTTCAGACATTGAGGACATCACATATGAGAGTCCCCTAGGAGCCAGTGACCATGTGGTTCTGTGCTTTCAATACACAGTAGAGGCACAAGTGGAGAGGGTAACAGGAGTTTTATGGGAAAAGCCAGACTATAAAAGAGAGGACTACATAGGTTTGAAGAACTTCCTGTAGGAGGTTCAGTGGCCCAGAGAACTGGTAGGAAAGTAAACGAAATGATGGAATACGTAGCAACAAAATGCAAGGAGGCAGAGGAAAGGTTTATTCCCAAGGGCAACAGAAATAATTGGAAGACCAGAATGAACCCCTGGTTTATCCGACGGTGTAAGGAGGCAAAAACTAAGTGCAATAGAGATTGGAAAAAGTACAGAAGGCATAGAACTCATGAAAATAGGGAGATTAGTTGCAGAGCCAGGAACGAGTATGCACAGGTAAGGAGAGAGCCCCAGCGACAGTATGAAAATAACATAGCATCGAAAGTCAAGTCTGACCCGAAACTGTTGTATAGCCACATCAGGAGGAAGACAACAGTCAAAGACCAGGTGATCAGGCTGAGGACAGAAGGTGGGGAACTCACAAGAAATGATCAGGAGGTATGTGAGGAGC